GGGGGGGGTGGCCAATGGACTCCTCCCTCGGATCTCCCACCGTTCAGGAACCAGGGAGTCTCTACTTTTGCCTAAGGTATTGGGCACTATAAAAAGCACGGTCCCTGTTGCCTAGAAGCCTATTTTCTGAAGTGAAAACACACAAATCCAGCACATCAAATACCAAAGAGACAAATTCTTCTTAGTATTTCTTCTTGTGCCTGCTTCTAGCTTGGGTATAGCCACCAGTTTTTTGCATTGCTGCTGGAAGGAAAGGAAGCCGCTGGTGAACGGTCTTTAACAGAGAAGCCTGTGAACTACTAAGGTCCTGGGGGAAAGGTGCACTTTTGTCTGCATGATGAATTGGGTCCTGGGTTGTCTGAAAACGTGCCAGGTGGGAAGTACAATGTGAGGGACTGAAAACCACCATGCAAACTAACTGGTTTAGAGACTTTATATGGCCCATATCCCAAGCCAAGGAAACTGCTGGTGTGAAAGGATAATAACCGAACATTTAATTGGGAAGGAATTGTGCTGTGTCACAGTCTTAAGAAGACTACTCCAGAGGGGATGTACTCTCTGCTGACTGGTTGTGATCCCTCTGCACACCTGGAGAACACACTATAAACAATAACCCAAACAAACCTCCCTTGCCTATTAACCCTGCGAGTCCTCTGTTACCAGTCCTGACAACCACAATAAACACAGTGAAGAAACATCTCACCCAGTTTCTCCTCCTGTAGTGAGGAAACACTCATTCTACAGGAAAACAAATGTCCAGCGTTTGCTTCCAGATGGGAGGAAAGCAGCCCATTCCTGGACTCGCCTGAATAGAGCGGTCCCCAGACCAGCAGCATTCAGCACCCTCTGGGAGCTTGTTAGAAAGGCATGCACTGCCCTGGAGCCCTGCCCTAGCTGTACTAACTCAGAAACTCCGCGGCAGGACCCACCAGTCTGCGTTTTAACCACCCCTAGGTGACGCCGATGCACCCTCACAGTTGATGGTCGCAGCCCTAGATGCTGCAGGCTGGCTGGAAGGGCCTCTCCCCCGGCCGGCCTCATCCTGCGGCCCTCGGGTGGGTAAGCAGCGAGCGCTCTGCAGGTGCTCCTGCCAAGGGGAAGGCTGTTTCGAACAGGCGCGCACACTTCGCTGCGTTTCAGGTGCAGGAAGTTGTTCCTCCAGGCGTAGGTCAAGGGGGCCCTTCCCCCTTTGCCTCCACCCGATCCGAATCGCAGGTTGGGTTGAACTTGACACCCAGCAGGGGTCGCTGCTGCCTATAAAGTGAGACCGAGGGAGCGCAGCAGCGAAGCCCCGAATCTTTGACATCACACTAAGCTCCTCCTTGCACGCACACATCTCCACACACACACACACACACACACGCGCGCGCGCACACCGTGGACAGACCGCGTACTTCTCTCTGCCCGCTCGCACCCACTGCCCCGGAGCCGGCCTCTGCCTTGGCTGTGTGTCCGGCTCGGCCACCGACGAAGCGAGGAGCCAGGAGCGCAGCGCCCGCAGCGGGCGGGGACCGGCGCGCAGCAGGAGCGGTGGCCTGGCCGCCCGGG